AGACTGAGTTTGTTGTAGCTCCTCAAACTGAAGAAGTCCTTTGGATAAAAGACGAAACGTTTCAACAAGTTTTTTTTAATCCATCCAGAGGACCAGACTTGCGTTGAGCAGCATCAGAACATCTGGGAGTCTTGTTCACGACTGATGGTGGGATGCATCGACAGATGAAGGCCCAGGTTTGAGATCTAAACCAAATCCTCTGGCTCAGTTGTTACACTACAGATGTTTATGATTTTCAACTTTTCTGAATCAAAAGAATTGGTTTTATTAACATTTCAAAAGTTAGACACAATTAAATTGCTTTACAGACTGTGAGGAGATTACTGCTCAACTTGTGGGTTCAACTTTAAATTTTGGAGGCCCTGAACATGAACTTCAGATTCCATGATCAGATTCCAAAAAGGGAGAACTGGAAGTGGTCTCCATCAGTGCACGTTGTGAGCACAAGGTCCTGAAAAAGAAATAAAAACAAGGATCAACTTCCATTTTGTTGTGTGGCTGCATTTAGATGTAAAACGATCAATACTTTTATATTCCTGAAAGTATTTCTTCAAATGATTGAGGTGGCACTTGGTGTGGGCAAAGGTGCATCTTTCAGGACCAGTGCCACCAGTGGCCACCCTCTGGCTCCTCTGGTGGATAAAATACCATACCATACCAATTTATTTATATAGCACTTAAAACAGCAACAAGGCCAACCAAAGTGCTGTACAAAAGAACCAAACATGCACAGCAGACAGGAAAACATCAAATAGAAATACAGATACAAATAGCAGCAGAAGCTAACTAAAATGGCCAACAGAGTAGAGAACAGACCGGACCAAAACAAATCACACCGTGTTAAAGGCAAGCGAATAGAAGTGGGTCTTCAAGCGAGACTTAAAGACTGAGAGTGTGGGAGCCTGCCGGACACTCAGTGGCAACTCATTCCACCGTCTTGGACCTGCAACAGAGAAAGCCCTGTCACCTCTGAGCTTACGACGGGTTTCTGGGACTGAGAGAAGCATCTGGTCTGCTGACCTCAGAGAGCGCGGTGGGACATATGGCTGCAGAAGATCAGTGAGATAGGATGGGGCGGAACTGTTCAGTGATTTAAAAACATACATGAGAATTTTGAAATGGATCCGAAGGTGAATGGGTAGCCAGTGCAGGGAGGCCAAAACTGGCGTGATGTGCTCTCTATAGCCTGTACCAGTTAAAAATCGGGCTGCAGCATTTTGGACCAGTTGTAGACGAGCAATGGAGGACTGACTGATTCCAAACAGAAGTGAATTGCAGTAATCAAGCCTAGATGTTATGAAGGCGTGGATCACTGTCTCAAGGTTCTTTTTGGAGAGTATAGGCTTCAGCTTAGACAGCTGTCTCAGCTGAAAAAAACAGGATTTGACCATCATGTTTACGTGACTGTTGAGTTTTAAGGACGGGTCCATTATCACCCCCAGATTAGTGACCTTTTGTTTCTCTAGCGGGGCTAGAGAGAAAAGGTCAATGTCATGGTTCATGAGTGAGCCACTGGGATGGAACAGCATGACTTCAGACTTCTTCTCATTGAAGCTTAAGAAGTTTAAAGCCATCCAGTCCCGGATGTCAGCCAGGCAGTCAAGAAGAGGCTGAATAGAGCGTGTGCCTCTGTGCCTCAGGGGGAAGTAAATTTGGCAATCATCGGCATAGAAATGAAAGGGTATGTCGTGTTTGCGGAAGATAGCACCTAGTGGCAGCAGGTATAAAGAAAAGAGAAGGGGACCGAGGATGGACCCCTGCGGTACCCCCCACTGGAGCGCTGTCGATGCCGAACTAAAATCTTTGATATTGACACAGAAGGTTCTGTCAGTCAGTCAGTCAGGCAGGCAGGCAGGCAGGCAGGCTGGATGGATGGATGGATGGATGGATAGATCATTATCAGATGATGGCAGGGACACTGAGTCTCTTTTTCGGTCGGACACGTTGTCCTCTTTAAAGACTCAGAAGCTCAGGACTCTGGTGAAGGAGAGTCCATTACTTCGGCACAAGTTGCCATGGTTGTTAAAAAGTAGACGAGGTTTGTGTGACCGCTGAGGGACCACACTTTTTCCAGCTCTCCGAGACGGTTTACTCCAGAGTGTTAGGAGGCTCCAACTGATTGTTGAACTTCAGATACAGGAAGAGGAGCATGGAGGACCAGGTCTTCACTCTTGGACAGTTGGTAGAGGGTCATAAGACTGACTGTACAGTCCACATATTTTGTGCACTGGACAGGACGACATTAAAATAGTTCCATCATTTATTTTACAGATTTGTAAACCTCTCCATTTTACAAAAACTGGTTAAATCATGTCATCTGGACAGTTTCTTACTGGGAGAAACATTTTGTTTTTCTTTCGAAAGACTTCATCAGTCTGAGGCCTGCCACCCAGATCTGTTATATAAATAGCACCTGATAGATATAGCTTAATTTAATTAATTATTAATTAATTAATTAATTCCATCCATTATCTTTACCGTTTCTTCTTCTTCAGGTCGCGGGGGTCTCTGGTGTCCATGTGCAGCCATCACTGTGTGAGAGGCGAGGAACACCGGCGTGGACAAGTCTCCAGTCCAACACAGGGACACACAGAGACAAACGAGACAAACAACCATTCTCTCTCTCTCACCGAGGGACAATTCAGAGTTACCAGCCAGCCTAACATGCATGTTTTTGGTTGGTGGAAGGAAACTGGAGCACCTGGAGAAAACCCACGCAGCACGGAGAGAACATGCAAACTCCACCTAGAAAGGTCCCTGGCTAGGATTTGAACCGGCAACCTTCTCACTGAGAAGTGACAGCTCTACCAACTGCACCATCGTGCTGCCCTAATTAATAAATTAATTGGGTTAATGGAATAAAAATACTTTCTGGGACTTCCACAGCAGGATGGACTGAAACTCATCAAGGAGATGCTATTTATACGACAGATCTTGTTGGCAGGCCTCAGACTGAAGAAGTCTTTTGGATGAAAGATGAAACATTTCTCCATCTGTCCAGATGACGTGATTTCACTTTTTGTGATTTATTTACCTGGATAATTGAGCTTTCAAACCTTTTTTCTCTCCTCCAGCATCAACGTGTGGCATGAAGGCTGCACAGAAGATGTTGGTGTCAGCCTCCCCACCATCACAGACATCTACACCTCCAGATGCAGGAAGAGGGCCACCTGCATCATGAAGGACCACACTCACCCAGCACACACACTTTTTGCCCCACTCCCCTCAGGAAGGAGGTTGAGGAGCATTAAGTGTAGAACCACTAGACTGAGGAACAGCTTCTACCCTGAGGCTGTTAGACTCATGAATCTCTAACCAGAATAATCACTGTGAAAAATCACATCATGTTGCTGCTGATCTGTTTCATGCTGCTTCTGATCTGTTTCATGTTGCTGTTGATCTGTTTCATGTTGCTGCTGATCTGTTTCATGTTGCTGTGTTCATGTGTCCTCATTTGCTCACACAGACTCATGTTCGTGCTGCTGATGTTTGGCACATTGATCTTATTACTGTTTTTCTTTACAATTTCTATTTTTGTTGGATGCATCTGGGACCCTGTGTACATAGTTTCGTTCCACCTCATGTACCACATGTGATGAGAATGACAGTAAAGACACCTTGACCTTGACCATGACCTTGATTTTCTCCCCCATGGTGTAGTGAAAAGGGGGAATTGGAAACATGAGTTGTCCATTCGTCCGTGCACGCTGTGAGCATAACTTAAAAAAATAAGTCAGGCACTAGTTTCCATTTTGGTGTGTGGCTGCATCTAGTTAACTGTTAGTTAACATCTAGTTTAACAGTTAGTTAACATGTAGTTTAACTGTTTACATCTAGTGAACTGTTAGTTAACATGTAGTTTAACTGTTAGTTATCATCTAGTTTAACTGTTAGTTAACATCTAGTTTAACTGTTAGTTAACATCTAGTTTAACTGTTAGTTATCATCTAGTTTAACTGTTAACATCTAGTGAACTGTTAGTTAACATCTAGTTTGACTGTTAGTTAACATCTAGTTTAACTGTTAGTTATCATCTAGTTTAACTGTTAGTTAACATCTAGTTTAACTGTTAGTTAACATCTAGTTTAACTGTTAGTTAAC